CCTAGTCCTGTGGGGAGCAGCCAAGAGAACTGGGGTTGTTTAGCCTGGAGAAGAGGAGTCTCAGAGGAGAACTTATCACTCTCTACAGCCATCTGAAAGGAGGGTATTGGTCTCTTCTCCCAAGTGATAAGCAATAGGGCAAGAGTAAATGGCCTCAAGTTGCACCAGGGGAGGTTTAGATTGGAAATTAGGAAAATTTTCTTCATTAAAGGGTTGTCAGGCATTGGAACAGGCTGCCCAGGGAGGTGGATGAGTCACCATCCCTGGGGGTATTTGTAGGTGTGTAGACGTGGTACTTCTGGACATGGTTTAGCAGTGGACTTGGCAGTGCTGGATTAACAATCGGACTAGATGATTGTAAAGGTCTTTTCCAACCTAAACACTTCTATGATTCTATGAAAACACTACATATCTATGAAATATTAAGATGTACCACTTAAACCATCATTTTGAACATTTTAATTTGTCGTCCTTTTCTGCTTTAACTGTAGTCCTCTGACTTTTTAATCTGCACAGAAAAAGAAATCATTCTGCCCCCACTGATGCTAATGGACACAAAATGACCCCAGGATCTCCAAAAAGAAAAAAATAACAACACGAAGAACAAATAACTAATCCCCATCATCTTTCATAAAAGCCTTTGGAAATGCTGTGCAAATATCTTGCAGCAAGAGAAAGTGCATATCAGATGAAATGAGTGAACATCAGCAAGTTACCATGGCGTAACCAGCTAAGTAGCAAATGCAGAGTTAAAAAAAAAAAACAATACTAAAACACATTTTCCTAAGTCTCTCTCGCGGAGGTTTAAAGCTAGACACTTCACACTGGAGACAGATCAAGACTAGGCATGTGCTCAGTTACTGCAGCTGAGCTGTCTCACAGGAAAAGGTGCTATTCGTCAGTGAGCTAAATCAATCGAAGAGTCAGCTGCCACAGGGAGGCTAGGCTGCTCTCCCCTGGCCGTGGCTGCCTTTTATTCAACCCTTCTCTGTCTGTGCTCATGCCTCACCAAAATGTTTTCTGTGCTTTTGCTCACTGGTTCAGCTCACCCCCTACAGCCAGGGGGCCTGGGAGGCAAGAAAAGCACAACTTTCACTGGCAGCTAGCCATAAACTCAGCTGAATTGTTTCACCAAGCTACACCCTTGCTCACTTAATGGCCCCAGCCTAGAGTTACTGAGAGTTGCTTCCAATTTATCTCCTAATCCATTTCAAGGCAATTGGTTTTCTGCTGAATAGCCATATATGAAGCAGGAGGCTTCATCTGTCACCTATTTGCCTAAGCCCCTTCTCAAAAAAGGCTAGCAGGTTTAGGAGAAGGACTGCTGGAACTTGCAGTAGATCTTCCCTAAGTGCAAAATCTGTGCCAGTGATCAATAATTAACATACTTTCACCCTGACCTGTCAAAAGCTAGAGACAAACCAGACACATACTCGTACTCGGTCCTTTTTGACTGGAAATACTGAGACCATAAATAATCCTCATATATAATCCTGACATAACATAATTACCTTCAGATGGATGAGCATCATTTCTGGGAAGCTTAGGGGAAAGAGGAGCAGCATACGGTGGAGAGTCCTGAGGGTATCGTTTAGCACTCCTGTTTTCAGGTATTTCTTCTTTTGCTGCAAAGAGAAAAGTCACCAGCTATTATTCTAGTATAAAGCTGCTCACGGGGCAAGTCCAGGGACAAAAGCAAAGACATGCATCAGCCATTCACCAGTTTACAGTTCAGTTTCTTGTGTCACACAGACTCAGCCATTTAGATACAAACTTTCACAGCTGAAGTACAGTTTAGTTTATACTGTCATCACCCAAATTACCTTGACCTTGGCTACTTATCTGAAAAGAGTTAAACCAAATTACTTTCATATGACAGATAAACATAACTTCTCCATTGGAAGTGGGGAGGAGGGAGAAGAGTATTTTATTTTCTAAAGCAGCACCCAGAAGACAAACTCAGCTAACAAACAGCTTCACACCCAACAGGAATCTTCTGAAATTGCCCTGACATCATGGTTTTCTCAGCAATGGCCCCTGGCAACCCTTGGGCTGGGACTTTGTAACACCAGGCCCTACAAGCAACCTGATGGGAGCTCTTGCACAAGTAATTTCATTTCTCCTTCACTCTATGCTCCCAGCACAGCAGACAAAGATACATACAAAATACAAACCTCATACAAAATATCACAAGCAGCCACCTGCAAAACCCACTTTTTCTACTAGAAGACTGGACTGTACATAGTAGAACGTAAAGCTTTTGGAGCCACCGCTGAGTAAGGTGAATAAAGAGGGAAGAAAGTACCTTTTACTGACGTGGGAAGGGCTAGGCTGAATTCCCTTCTCATAAGGCAAGCCCCTTCTCATAAGGCAGTAAGTATCTTTTTGCAAGTTTATTTTATGATCCGAACGTAAATTTAACAAATGAAATGTGAAGCTTTGAGCTTGTCTTTTGAGCGGTACCAGTGGTACAATACATGTTTCCTGGCTTGCCTACAAGGAGGAGTTTGCTGAACAAAATGGTTTCTGCATGTGCGGTACGAGCTATCCCACCCTGTCAAAGCCCTCCCACACTGGAACTAATCCACTAAGCACTGAGGCGCATCCACGTCAATCAATGCACGTCACAGACAGACATATTAAGAAGTTACATTTCATAAAGATGCCACACGTCTCAAACATGAGCCCTTGAAAATAACAGTTGTTTAACGGTACCTGGTTTGTTCCTGTCATACTCCGTAGGACTGTGTGCAGATCCCATGTAAGGGCTGAAAGGCTGGCTACTAAAGAGATTATCACACTGCAGGCTGTGGCAGAGTTTCTCCAAAAAGCGTAGGACAAACGATGCGCTGTTTACAGAAGGAAGATTGATGGCGTGCTTTTCCCCATCAAAGGAAGCTGGGAATAAGAAGATGATGTCAGAGACCCCCTAAGCATCATGAAGTAGAGTAAAACACCATCATTAACTTAAAGGAGAAGACATTCAGATTTGATTTAAACCACACACAAGGCGTGAGAGGAGTAAAGAATTGTTCTGGTAGTTTAACAAATTTACATCCAAAGGACTGATTTGACCTTCCGTTGGATCCATACCAGTTTTAATGTGTTCTATGGTAACTTAATAATAAAATAATTTTGGATTCACACCAGCGTAACAAAACTTGCAACTATTCCCTCATCACCAAAACCTTATGTGCACTTGCTGCTGTTTGCTTATAAAACAGCAACCTCTCCACAACCTATTTCAGGAGGTTAGACAGAAAAGACCCTTTACGGTACTTGCTAAAAACAATATAAAAAATAAATTTAAGAAAAAGGAAGCAAACAACTAAGATTTTTTTTTTTCCCCTCAGTTTCTAACTGAAGTGAGCATGCTTGGGGTAACGTGCTGCCATCCATTACCACTGAAATTCTGACTACAGAAAACTGTTTTGCCATTTGCTGTTTTATGCCTAGAGAAATCTATCCTGCTGTCAACACTACAGCGGTCAAGCTCCTATTTATTTCAACAGGAGCTAGGTGGCAGAGATACCACAACAGCCACAAATAGATCTGATGTCTTTTAAACTGAGTGATTACAAAGAGCCTGGACATGTGCCTATGTCTTTTACTTGTTAATCTCCTTCCTTGCCCCCCAGAGTGTTGCAGCTGATGATGTTTTCCTTTTTTGTGAAAATCAAAAGATTTTGAAAAGACTCAGTACTGCCAATATACGGATAAATAATTACCATTACATTGGCTGAAACTTTTAGTTACTTCCGATTAGAAAGACATTAGCACAAAGCAGGAACAAACCTGTAACTAAAGCTTAGGGCTAGAAAGAAGTCACATAAACACCAGGTTTACTCATCACTTTGTCTTCTCAGTTTTCAGCCTGTGAGGCAGCAAACTTGTTAACATAAGTTTCCACATGATAACTAGAGCTTTAAAGGATCCCGTTCTGTTGGCAGCAGATACATTTTGGAAAAGAAAAAAAGAAAAAACCCAACCCACAACCCCAGAAATTACAAGAAAGCCTTTATTCACAGATCTGAATTAAGGACTATTTCCATATTGTGTTGCAGAAGAGACAGAGAACATACACAAAACCAAAGAAAATGCCCAAGTCGAGCATATTTTAAGCTTCCTTAGGCAATCAGAAGTGTCAGTTACTTACACTGTTGATGTAAGGAAGCTTCTGATTAGAGTTAAAGCAAGTTAACTAGCTAGCAACAACAACGTGCTACCTCTCTCATACGCTTCCCTGAAAGACCGATCTACTGCAAGTGCTTAAAGCTTAGGAGTCAGTAGTACAGGGACAAGTCCTGGACCCACGTTTCTGTGGCCCATTCATTTTTTACAGGCTCCAACGTTCGAACGAAATGCTAATGATTCACAGTCCCACATGTGGCTCAGACACAAGGTCCTCTACCTCATGTTTGGGGAAAGGGTCTCCGAAAGCAAATTTTTGCTTGGATCTCAACCAGGTCTGGAGAGCAAATGGGCTGGGAGACCTACCACTGCCTGATCTCCTGACAAATTTACTGCAAGCTAGTGGTCAGCTACAGCAAAAGTTTAAAATGCTTTATAACAGCCTTATAGATACATGACCTTGGGGAAATCACTTATCCTCCACCCCTTAACTTCTCATTTTGAAAAGAACCATTGAAAAGAACAGCATTATCTTAGAGTTGTCAGGAGAGCAAAGCAAGAAACAGCTGAGGCAACGTGACTGCCCCGGCAAGTCATACCAGGGGAAAAATCCACAAATAAAGGTTCAGTGCAAACACAGCTCCCTTGTCCTCTGAACACCTGAGGGCAACCATACCAACTCCAACCAAGGCTGTGGGATCCAGATCCTTAGGCTCAACTCTCTGCTCTGCTTGGGGACAACATAAGCCTCTCACTTCTCAGATAAATGCTAGGGGAAAAAATAAAAATGAGTACTTCTGAAGTGCAACCTTTAATGATAAAGAAACAGGGATTAGTGTTTGCATGTGCAATCCCAGCCTCCCAGATGAAGAGGCATTCTCATTTCTTCACCTTCCACTGTGTACATGTTTTAGACACCAGGTTGAAGCTACGAGAAAGACTGAGCACTAAACTCAGCCAACAGTCTGATTTTAATTCTCTCCCTGAGAAGATTTATCTGAGCCTCAGTCTAGTTCACCCCACCAAACACCATAGTCTCTGTGCTACAAGAAGAAAAAAGGGGTTGACACCACCACCACCATTAGTGGGCTTGCTGATCAAGCCTTTAATTTCCTTTCAGTTATATTCGCCTGAATTGAAACCTTATGAATCAAGCAAAAATAAATGACTGTGTGCTTTTGTTTGAGTAAGAAAAGATGGAAAAATCCTAAATTCAACTCCATTGAAAACAATTATTTTCTTTGGCAGCTGAACCAAAAGAACCCGCTAATTATTAACACGTATTCTAGCAAGAGTATTTTCTTCACGTCCTCATCAGCATACGGTTTCCTCCTACAGCAGGTATAATATTCGTCATGAAAGTTTAAGTCCACAATAGATTTAGATTTCTTTGCTTATTCTCTGCAGCAACATTTTTTTTCTTGCCAGTCTAAAAAGAAAAAAAACCACCACCCGAACAACAAACCACACTCCAAAACCACTTTCAAACAAAAACTCTACAAGAAAACACTCTCACAGTTTCCTTCTGTAATTCCTCATTTTATTCTACTGAAGCTTTCCTCTTCTCACTGTTCAGATGCACAGCTGGTTGTGATGTGCTACCCTAACTTAAGTCACAGTTGTGCTTCTCACAATACATCACACAGGAGTTTTTGATTAAATCACAGGGAGCATTTGCTCACCTGCTTCTCAGCAACCTGTCTGAGAAGCCAATGGCAAGGGAAGAGCTCAAGAACACTGGAAACCCACTGGGATCTTGAATGCCTGTATCACCTGGGCCAGGACTCTGCTTCAGGAGCAGTCCACACAGCCAAGTTCTTTAAATCCAGGGCTACAGGGCTGGCATCTCAAAGGCAGGCCTTGCCTTGCAGTGAAGCCAGGTGCAGAACAGCAATTCCTTCTCATGCAGAATTTCTGAATGTAAACAAGCTACATAAAGATTTTTAAATTTCTCTCTCATCTGTTAAATGATTATTTTCAACTACTCATTCACAGCCCAAGCATGCCACTGGCCTATGATTTAGTCTTTCGTGATAAACAGAACACTGGCAGTGCATATCTCAGTGCATCCTGCTCAAGAAAAATTAACTTGCCTGAGTTAGTTACAGCAAGGTATTAATTATGTAATAAACTTTCATATATCTTGCAAAAATAAAGCAACACGGGTTTCAAACCCACACGGACGCAGCGCCATTAAACCTTTACCACACAGCAGAGAAGCAGCATACGTTTTTTGAACTCACTCCCGGGGAAGCATAAGCAAGGGTGACTGTAGTTCTGCTATGCCCAGCTCGGGGTGCTGCTTTTTAAATACTGTTAGACAACAACATCTTTATGAGGATTTAATTGAACCTGTATTCCACTAATCATCTTTCATATCTGGTGTTCATGTAAGGAGATTAAAGTAGCACAAAGTCTTTTGATCACCAGTGATGGAATTATGAATTGATGTGCTAACTGCTATATAGAATATTTCCTAGCCTAAAAGGGGAAAAAAAATGTCAAGCAGCAGCTATTCAGTTAAATAAACCTATTCCATAATAGGGGACATAGGTGGATGAACACTGACCTAAGATACTGCTACAATTCTGGGGAACGGGGGAAGGGAAGAAGCAGCAATTTTAACATGTGGAATGACTTGCCTGGAATCTAAACAGATTAGTTTGAAAATTTTCAGTCACTTGGTTGTGGCATTAAGAACACAAACACGGTGTATGGATAAAGATTATGCGAATGACTTGAATTAATAAAGCTGATATTTCACTTGTACCGGGTTTACTTGACAAATGTTTGGCCACAGCTGCTAAATGAGGTGCACGAGCTCTACTTTGTGTAAGAATCTAATTTTATTGTGTATATGTAATTTAACACTGCTAAGTTCTCATTTAAAGAACTGTTCAAATCGTCCTGGACCCCGAGTGAGATAGATCACACACCGCCAATACTCTCTTAGTAAAGGAGTTCACTCACACGTCTATGTTCTTGACTGTGCTTAAATAGGTACGAAAGTGACAGAAACTCATTGCAGCTACTTCAGTTCTTCTGCCCCACCTCGAGTTCACAGCCAAGTGAAGAAACAGAGCACCTTCACATACCAGTTATCACTTCCCCTCCGTGATGGCCAGACTTCAGAAATCCAAAGACTGTTTTGGATTGATGGGCACAATCCACACAAGCCTGTACAGCCTGCTGAAGTACCACGTTGACAGGACCTGGTCCAAAGTGATCCGGAAGCTGCTGAACATTCTTCTTATCCAGATGAGGCCCACAGTTTCCATGCTTGTTGACATAAACACACACTGAAAAAAAACAAGCCATGTTTATTGCCACGGAACTAAGACATGCTTCCCAGTTAGACCTGCAAACTGTCTTCTTAGTTTTAATCTTGAGGAAATGATGTACTGGTCAACTCAAAGGCTGAACATGCATACATACTTTCTGAGTGTGGAAAAAGTGCTCTGGCTTCTAACAACATCCTCCAGCCTGAGCCCTAAACCCACTTCTTTCTGGTCTCTAAAGCCCTTCACTACCCCACTAATGTAACAAAGCTGTCATAGCCCCTATTTATCTTTTATTTTAACTAATCTCTGTTCATACACTGGCTCCAGTAAAATAAGAATTACTGGCAAGGACTCTAAATTACCAAGATGGGATTCTAAACAGCTGGCCTTACCAATTTACTACCCTAATTTTCCCCGTATTTGAGAAGCTACAACAGGACGACAACTCTATGGCATACACCTACCACTGATGCTCATTCTGAAGCACTCATACAGCACTAACGTGTGCACGTATAATGGTCCTGTGCACACACGTAACGGCTACTGAAGGTCTGTGCCTTCAGTATCCCCAAACCACTTGTGTATGATTTCCACACTGCGACTTGGCCTTCTCTGCTAAATGAAATAAACACACTTGTCTTGAAACACTGTAAGGTGATTTAAAGCTTAGCACAAAACAATCAACTGGGACTTGAAATAACTTTTTATGGACACCGTGCAAAACTGCCTTTCTAAAGGGACAGCAAGGCTTAGAAAAACATGGGGAAAAAAGGTGTAACTGAAGATTTTTTTTTTCTTTTGGCCTTGCCTGTCACATGACCAGGAATGCACCCAAGACACGGCTACAGCTTAATGAAAAGATATGCCTCTGTGTTGATTAAGCAGACAACCGAAACATCCTGTTGTATAAGACTGCCATATTTTCTGAACCGTAGTAATATTTGGGCTTAGTTAAAAACCTAGATCTTAAAACTCAAAGTATTTCCTTAAGTGTTTTAATGATCTTAATGTCTTCATGCACATCTGCTCAGTCTCTGATGTCCGCAAGTTGGAGGAAACAGATTTGTACAAATAATCAAAGATACAAATCAGCAAAAATAGTTTTCATGGCATCTTCTGTCTGGGCTCAATAACAACTGCCTCCCGAAAGGTTTATTTTCTTAGGAAACACACACCCATTTTCCCCTCATCCATGACTGAAGTTGGGAGTCAGAAGAGCCTAACAACTCCTATTGTAAAACCACTTTTTAAACGTCACAAGGCACCTCAAAAGAAAATTATCATAATTTATGGAGGTTTTAAAAAGTTCTGAGATTTCAGTTGACAGCATACAAATTGTTTCACTACAGGGTTACAAGTTCCTCAATGAGCTAGATCTTTAGCTACCTGATTTCTCTTTTGTCAACCTTTTTCAAGATACATTTCATTGTATTTCAAAAACAATCACACGTAAGAGGATGAAGGAATGTATTTCCTCTAACTGCCTTTACGTGGTTTAAACAGTTGTTTCTTTTCAAGTCAGACTGTACAAAGATAAAAATCTCAATTTTGTTGTATTACAGTACAGCCTGCATGATGTCAGAGTATCACATGGGGTTTTTTCTACATCTATTACCACTTCATACATTCAGGAGTGGGACAGACATGAAAGAACTGGAGAGTTTCCTTTTTCAGACAGGAACAAACTGACAGGTCTAGCAGATCTATCAATAGCCCCTGTGCTCCAGCACTTCTTGCTATAATGCAGGTATCAAAATACTAGTTCTGCAACGTAACACTGGCACTTAAAAATCTCTGTTAAAAATGAGGAGCTGGATAATGATTTACAGTAATAAATTTGCAGCACATTTTCTGTTAAATGACACTACCAGTTTGCTTGTAATGGAAGCCATGTCATACTAAAAATGTCATTCATTTTTTTAATTTCTCTTTTACCTGTGGATATAACTGCTGCAGTTGCACCAGACAAACTAATTCCATCTTTAAGTATCTGTGTAGTGCCACTGTCCCCCTCAGGAGAAGAATGAGGAGAAGGTGATGCAGAAGTCAGTTGTTCCGGCAAGATTTTTTTCTGTTTAGAGAACAAAAACATAAATTAAAAATGTTTAATGTTCTTTAAGGAGTCTGCAAAACCTTTCTGCTATCGGTTACCATCTGACTGAATGTGTGTGGTTCCTTATTACAAAAGTACCACACAGAGCAGAGAAAATAAAGTCCAGAAAAGGAAGACCAAAAACTGTCAGTCTGCATTTACAGCTACCTAAGTTAAGGCAGTGGAAGTCAAGTGACTTCAAAAGGAACACACCTCTATCTAAAAAGTGGGAAAAGAATGAGCTTTATATACTGATTCATGACCCTTCTGCATCTTAGAAAGCACAAAGAGGTGTTTTGGATTATTTTCCTGTCCATACCCTTCCAAACATCTGGGTTTATCACAACTCAAACAGTTAGATTTTATATGGGAATATATATATACAGCCCAACTGAGTCACATTTGTGTGTCAACTTTGCACTGCACCTTGATTTTCCCCCAGCTTGTTTCAAAGGGGCTGAAATCCTCAGGTAATCACTTTCAGGAATTAATGCTTTATGCAACCTATCAAATAAACCAGTGGTTACTATCTGGTCATGGAAGTTGCCCAAACCATTTTTTGCTTCCCAAACCAAACTTAGTTGCAGCTTATCATATGACAGACAACCAGAGTTCACAGCACAAAGATTTAGAAATTGGTCAGTGTGCATTACCTTCCACCTGAGAAAAGGAGCGTTTTGTTGTAATTTGGTTTGGACTGGGGTTTAGGAAAGAGACAGGAACAAGGAAGGTATTGTAATGTGCTTTGACATGCTATGAAAATACATGGACATAAAAGAAATAATGAATTGGAGAAAGTTGAGGAAAAGTCTTTAGGAAGAAAGACCTCTCCCCTCACCATTTATCCTTGCATTAGAACAGATTACGTTCACATTCTCTTACCTACCAAAAAAGTTTGGAATGTGAGAGATTGCCCAAGGTCTTGACATTGCTGAAGGCAGCAGAGACCTGGCTACTCGTGTGGTACTGCTATACTGCTAAAATTGATCTACAGTGAAGTAAAAATTCAGTCAAGTTGCTAAGGGAGGCTAAGCCCTCTTTCACTTAGCAGCATCCATCCTTCACACTTTTAGAAGCAGCATATTTTCCACATAAAATTAAAAAATATGTAGAAAGCAACCAAAATAGGCACCTTCCTAAGAGCAGCAGTGTTTAACTCCTTCACAACACCTATAAAGAACAAATTAACTTTCTTCTGAAATCTAGGGTACATTAAAGAACATTTCTGGGCCCCTTGCAGTTCAGAGAAGATAGGTTTGGCTGGAGAAACTACCTGCCAGCATGGTACTGGGTGGAACTGCCATGAACATAAGGAATAGAATGCCAAGGCTTGGCACTGCACTGTGAATGAAATGAGGTGGCTCAGGTCAGACACTGAACCAAGCAGTGATATATTACTTGTCAGGAGTTGCCTACGCATCTTAACACTGTGTGACAGAAAGGTCTCTCTCTCCACCCTTAATACAGGGAACAAAAATGCCCTTGGGAAGTTGGAGCTTTTGATCTGAAGTTTGACATTCCTGAAGGCTACTCTGGACTCTCTGGGGGTCCAGCTGCCTGTCACTGTGCTGCAAAATACGGGTGGTTGAGGAGAAAGAGGAGGAAATAGGAGCAATGTAGGCATGAAAACAAAATACAAACACTAAATTGTAAGACAGAGGAACTATCTGCCCCCCACACCAACACATAAGCATGGTGAGGCTAGCAAGCTATTTCCTACCTTCTCCTTCAGAAGGAGGAAAGAGTGGATTTTGGAAATACACAACGTTATGCTTGCTGAGCTGAGGTTCTCATTTTACCACCCCAAACTGACGAGCAGCAAACCGTGATCCCAAAGCCATGTTGTTTCCCAAGGCAGGCCACATTCCCAGCAGGGCCCAGCACATTTGCTTGGTCAAAGCATCACCAGCAGGCCCTTGCCAGCTGGGAGAGCATGCCAGCTCCATTAGCCTGCAGAGAGCTCCGCTTAGTCTGGCACCACATGGCCAACTTCACAGGCTTTACCCTGACGCTTAAAAACTCTCTTCTTGTGGGGTCGAATTTAGGGCTGTGATCCACTTAGAGCAAGGCACTTCCTCAAGAAATTCTGGAAGGAATTCCTTGCATTGTTATGCAAAGTGTACTTTTAAAAATAATTGAAGAGATGTAAAGTGATTTCTTCTTCATTACGACAAAGTAAAACCATACAGTGCAAGCTGGGGGAGACAAATGGAAAACACAACCCAACGTGCATCTCGTATTGACAGAGAAGCTTAGAAAACTTCTGTTTAAAAGAGAGAAATGACACAACGGCTCAACATTCCTGGTGTGTAATAAAAGTTAATGCCTGCACAATGATAAACATCGCCCTTTTAAGTTTGTTGTGCTGCAAAGAAAGTCAAACCGCTCTACAGTGTATCAGGCACAGGCCAATCTCCCCAGATACCCAGGTTTTGAACTACAACACAACCAGCTTGCACCTGAAGCACAATTACTTAGCCTGAAAAGATGGAGGGATTTTTGGATTGGTCTTTAAAAAAACACAACCAAAACACCTAGGCACATACCACTTGCATTATATTTGCATATGTACTTGCATGTGTCCTGTGAGGTATACAGGCTGCAAGGTGCTCCATGTCGGATACACCCATGTCTGTGCAGGGCTCCCACAAAGCCATTTCCCCTCCTCACCTTGATGCTAACAGGCATAACAGCCCGAAGAAGAGCTTCGGCTTGTAACGGCTTGTAACGTCTTGGCAATTTAACCACGTACCAAAGCAATAACAACTTTCTGTAGATTCTCAAAAGGAGCTCGTTTTTAAAGTTCTTAATGCAGAAGTTATGTAGCAAAACTCACAAGTTTGACAGATCTAAGTCTGCAATGCCTAACTCTTAGTTGCCTGGTCCCACAGAGGAAACTGGGAGTATATGGAGGTACCACTGACTCAAGACGGGGAGTGCCAGCAGTAACCCCCACTCCCCACGCAAATTCCCCATTGCACGTCACACAGACCGGGTGCCAAATGCAGCACTCCAAGTAGACACCTTCAGACACCCAGAAGCCTCCTCTAAGGCTGAGATGCCTCCAACTCTTCTTTCAAAGGGTACACGAAGCTTCTCTATTAATTTTTCATGAGACAGAAAACAAAACTCTTACACGAAAATGCACATCCTGCCATACCCAAGGACATCCTTAAGATATGAAGGAGTCCTGTGTCCAACGCTCTCCGTTAAAGCTCCCCAGATTTAGAGACACGTCATCCACCAGCTGAGCGTGGATGGGAGCACCTTTCTCCTCTTTAATCTGTGTCTCAGTGCACTTTTATACACTGAGCAAGAGATAAAGCTAGAGACCACTTGCATCAGTAGCCTACCAGTTTGGATGCCTGACTGGAAGGGGCAGGCATCAGATGAAAGCACTCAGCTTTCTATTTCCAGTTCCCAGAATGATTTCTTACCTTGTGATCATAATTTCAACAAAGTGCCTGCTTCCAGTTTTGTGCTGCAGCCTTCTAGGGATGCTCTAATAATGTTACTTCACTAGCACTTTACAATGATTGGCATTATCACCGAAGGGGAAGTCCCACCCATGCCACTACTCCATCCCTGCCTGTGATGTGTGGGCAACAGATCCACAGTGATCCAGACTGGAGGATAAAACCACCGCAACTTCAACTTTTTGAAACTTGGGAAGGGGGAGGAAAACAAACAAACAAACAAAGCCTCCAAAAAAAGAGAAAAAACAATGCCCCCCTTCTCACCCATTGGTGCTAATGCAAAGGAGGGAGGAGCAGAGGGACAGAAAAAAATTTTCTGGGAAAAGAGATTGCAGGATTGCTACTTCTCTTTGACAGCCTCCAGTGAGTGAGCAAGCCTCAGAAAATAGATCGTGCTTCCATGGCAATTCAAGACTTGCCTAAATCCGCCCTGCTGTGACCCTGTCCTTCCTTGCAGCAGCACTGGTGGGTTTTTTTGGGGTGGAGCAGACAAAGAAGGGAGTTCAGAGGGAGGAATGCTGGGTTAGTTGGCTACCAGTTCAGCTCTCTGAAGTAGCTCACTCCGGGATCGTTTACCCACCGGTGTTGGTATCACGGGGGAGTGAGGGGTTACAGCAGTGTCGATTTGTACCTGGTCCAACAGTTCTGGACGAGCTGCAGCCAGAGGCAGCTGCCAACAGTGCAGGTCTGACACAGCTTGGCAGGGAAAAAGGCAGAAAGGCACCACGTCTTTCAGACCAGGGCAGAATTAGGCCCACACTTGGAGAAATGTATTGCCTGCAAAGAAGCTTCCTGCTTCATGCTAGTACCTCCAGGATACTAAAGAAAGAAGCAAACTATATATACGGTTCAGTAATGAAATAACCCAGTCTAAAAAGCCTAAAAACGCCTGGCTTTTATAATTTTACTGGAAATGGCTATTCCAGAATCTAATTTTTTAAACACCAACAACTCACCCATAAATATATTGGTAATCTTTTTCTGGAATAAAACAATCCATAGAAGTTTATACTGAAATATTCCAGAATAGATATTCTAGACTTTTTCTTGTAACCAATTGCTGAAAACAGTAAAGCCCTGAAGGCTAAAGAGAAGACAGAAAATTAAATAATAATTTTAAAAAATCTCACTACAAAATTCTGCAACATAAAGTAAAGTAGTAGATAAGGACTAACCTTTTTTCCAGGTTTTAAACTTTTTTTCCTTGTTTTAAGATTTTCAGAATGAGAGGTGCTTTTTGTCAGGGGAATATTTTTAGGAGACCTGCCCTTCTTGGGAACTGCAGACTGTCCAGGGGGTTTGCCCCGACCTGGTTTCCTGCCCCGCTGCGCTGGTACCGGAGCAGATTTCTGTGGAGACTGCATTGAACGCCGTGTCACTTTGGAAGGGGAAGATTGGATTTTTGCACTGCTCTTTGTAATGGAAACTGAGGAAAAACAAAAACAAAAGGGAAGGGGGGGAAAAAACCTCAAAATGAACGATGGAAAGCAACTTTTCTAACAAAGGCTTAAAAAAAAAAATGTTGTGCACAAATTACATTGTAAAATAAATATACTTGGATGTTTTGAACTTAAGTGGTTGGCATGAAACTATACAACTTCATTAAAGACCATGAGAGCACTCTTTATACCTATATTTTAAAGGGCCTTTCCTAAGAGAAAAGGATTCAGTAAACATAAAAATAATCAATCCACTCACCTTATAAATGCTTCCCCTAATTTTCTTTGCAATAAGATACTTATAAAGTGCCATTCATCAAGGCGGCCTTCAACATACTGCACGTATTATACAGCCCATAACACATCCGTTCTCCTTTAAGAGC